CAGATATGTGCAGACATGTGCTGTTGGGTCAAACCGGCCTGAGACCACCCGAGATGACCACCTCAGGAACGGAGAGCATTGAAGAAGAAACGGGGAGCTCCAAACAACACGCGCAGACTTGGCCAAGTGTGTTGAATCTATATATCATCTTGCATCATCTTGACCATCGGGCCGAGGAAGTGCTTCGAGAAGAACAGCCAGTGGAGCGCCTGCATGCGGGGCGACTAAGGGAACCGAAGTGGTCTGGTCTGTGTGCGGATCTTCAGATCTTCCGATACAGCTGGCTGGTGTGATATTTCCAGATATGTCTCGAGGATCTGCGTGGGGAACAAGGATGAGGATATGCGAGTGATTGACCCACCTGTCATGGATCTCACCTTTATTGGGATGTGTTTGAATGTTAGTATTTCTGTGTGTGGCATGACATTGCCAACCAGTTTTTTCTGATGGATGGTTTGTTTCCCTTTCTTTTGCTGCATGGTCGAAGACAGAAGAACGAGTGACCCCGCCAAGTGACTCATGATTGTTTTCGCATGTTTCTGGAGTCATTCCATGGAGAACATCATGGGCGCTTTCAGGGCTACCAGTGGCTGCAGTTCTCCCACACTGTCAGAGAGAAGGACGACCATGTAATGTGTATATATATATGTGTGTAACTGCAGCATGGTCCTGAGGTCAGGACAACGGTGCTTCCCACCCGCAGATCATCAGGTCCGTTTAGCAGACTCAGAGGGTTTTGTTTCCTTTCACAGCACTTCTGTCTCCCCTGCTTCGTCTGGTTATTTCTTGCACCTTGGCCCACCAAGCATCGCTCAGGCCATCCCACCAAGCCGAAAAAATCCCTCACTGAGGCCTTCCTGCACCTCTGGAGTCCAATACTTCTTGGAACCCATTTGGTCCAGATCCTCAGGGACCGAACAGAGGTTCGGGAGGCTCTGGGCTGACTGACCCGCGTGACTGGCTCATGTTGGACTCAAGGACTTGAACTCAGAGACTTGGTGTTTTTTGCAGCAGAAAAGTGTGTATTTTCTCTCTTCCAACTCAAATTGTGAGGATTGTTGTTGTCAAGATGACTAACATCCACCCTCAAGTTACAGTCATAGAATCATAGTGTTGTTTTTGTTCCACTACAATGAGTGGCGCCCTTGCGCTGTGTGTGTTTAGTGTGGGCGACAGCTCCCGTCCTGACATCACTTGGTGGCAACTAAGGGACTGGCAGAGTTGGAGCTGCAAGTGGCTCAAACCTTTAGACCTAAGGCGGGCTGGAAATCACCGTTTCGTTGCCGCCCTGTCGCCTTTCGAACGGAAGGGTAAGAAGCCGGGTATGCAGGGTCCTGAAGGTGTTTTTGATTTTTGGGGTCCTGAAGGTGCCTGAACTAAAGACCTGGGTAGAGCATCCTGCTTTATACCAATGAACTTTGTTTTCGTATCGCTGTTGCTATTTTGTAAGGTGGTCTTTTTGAGACTCGTCCAACGAAACATGATGTTGCAGATTTTTTGGGACACAAGCAGAACAAAATAGGACGGATGTATACTCCCTGGAATAGTCGTGGAGGTGGAAAGGGGATATCCAGTTCAATTCGTATCGATTGTGCACCTCATGTCCTCCACTGGCTCTTTGAGCGGCAGATCAATGAGGGCGCATTTGCTACACGGAAGCCCAGGAAGTCCAGCGTGATATACTAGGAACCATCCCAAGCTCAACCAATGTTATCACATTTTGCATAACTATATATAGATACCGATCCAATGTTTGAGATGGACAACGCAGAAAACAAGGAGATCGCCGATGAGTTCTTCTCCCAAAAAAGAACCTCCATGCGCTCGCAGCATTCGCATCCGTTCATCCGTTTCGCTGCCAGGTATCACTATGATCGCTTTCCGCCCGGGATCTCAACCCCTCATCGCACCGCATGGTTCGAACTCGGAATGTTGTACCGGACACCAACAGTACCGGACACTATGTTGTCATATGATACTGTCCACATTGCAACCGTAATGGTACAATGATTCAATCATGTTATATATATAGGTTCTGTACATATTTCGCTTTCATGTTTCACGGATGCTGCAGCATTTCAATGATCTTTTGGCAGCAAGTCCCTTGGTCTTAGAATCGGGCCCCCGACATGCTTGCGTCGGACGGAGGAACAAGGAGATGGAGGTGGGCGCCCTCATCATCAACGACGATGTCTTGTTGTCCCGGCCGAATTTGTTCATGCCCATGAAAGAACCGTGTAGATACACAAGGACCAGAGCGCGTCCTGGAAGACTTGCAGCAGCCAGTGAACTGTGACCACAGAAAGGCAATCAAACCTCGTTTTTTGATACAGTATAATAGGTTGGAGGCTATCCCTACTAGTAGCAAGGAGTTTAGGTGGGGGTGTTGGCGTAGTGTGGTGGTTGCCATGCCAGGAGAACGACGGCCCACTCCGTGCCTTGGCCAAAACATCGGCAGAAAATGACGAGCCTCAACTCAACTGCTAAGAGCACGCTTGGATTGGTGGAAGAGAAATCTGATCTGGGTGGTGTATTATATGATATATGAGTTTCAATTCAGTTGGCACCACCAAGCAGCAATGGTTTTTGGTTTCTGGATGTTCCTCCTTCTACATGTTGACCAAGGTCCTATCAATCGGAAATCGGAAATCCTCGGACTTCGTTTCCTGGTTGGTTTTGTCGCTCACTAGAAACACATCTGGATGAGATTCCTTTGCTAGTAGTAACAAGTGCCACGCTACTAGTAACACGTGCCTTACTGGTAGTAACAAAAAGCTATTAAAGTTATTATTTTTCTTAATAGCTTCTTGTTACTACTAGTAAGGCACCTGTTACTACTAGCGTGGCACCTGTTACTACTAGCGTGCTGTTATCTTTGAAGGGATGATTTTCCAGAAGTCCTGGTAGACGTGTGGAGCCCTCACACGACATCGCATGGCGCTTGGAGACATTCTCGAGACATGCGTGCTTCCGACAGATTCGTAAAGCATCCGGCTTCTGGAGCTGGAATCTGGCCTGTTTTGCGTGGAATGCTTTGTTACAGTAACTGCTAGCAACATGTGGCTTTGTAGCTGGCTGCTATCAAGCTCCGGGGTGATTTGCTAATACCGTGTGACAACTAAGAGTCCAATGAATACAAGGAAAGCACATGTTGAATGTGTAACGGCGTATACCATATAACCTTTTCTTTATTCCAGAAGTTGTGTGTTGTTCATGACTAACTTTTGATCAAGGGTATTTTCAGAGAAGCTTTCCAACACGGGATTGCCTATTAATCTAATATAATATTATATTGTTTTTTCTTATCAGCCCTTCTTAGTTGATCATTGTAGTCATCAACCATCGTGAAAGGTCTTGTGACAATGTAAGAGACCACCTGTCAAGGGCCTTGCATTTCCCTGAGACTTGTCCTATACTCCAATGTGTTTGCGTTCTGAAGATCCCACTTGACCTTGCTCATGATGTCGAGTCAAGGCCGTGTCCAACTGTTAAGTCACAGTGTGCAGGTGAACACATGTCCACAGGGTACAGAAATCCTACTGTGATGAGATCGAAGAATCAGCTTTCTCCCTTAGCGTTTTGTTGACATACCCCTAGCCCCCTTAAGAATGCTTCTCTATGTTTACCAGGTACGTAATTATACATGTAATTATACAAGACTACACATTTTTAGGAGTACGATTAGGTACTGGTACGGGTATTTGTACCGGATGTAACCTAAGCTGGTTCGCGAGCGTTGTTTTGCTAAGGGGCATGCTTTCGCGACCCCGCAGGAAAAAAGGTAAAACCAAAAAACAAATCGATTTTTACCGTTTTTACCGCGGATATGCTAGAAGAAAAAGGAGCGCCCCCCGGTAAAAACGTAAAAAATGATTTTTACCGTTTTTACCGCGGATATGCTAGAAAAAAGGGGTGCCCCGCCGGTAAAAACGTTAAAAAATTAACATTTTCAATTTTTACGTTTTTACCGCGGATATGGTAGACGAAAAAGAGGTGCCCCCCCGGTAAAAACGGTAAAACAACAAACACAACAATTTTTACCGTTTTTACCGCGCAGATGCCTCGGATTAACCCCGTAACCCCGGCAACTACGCTAAACCAGCACAGCTTTAACGGATGTATAGGTCTTTTGCTATTTGTTGTTCCCATATTTCCTATGGATCCACATACCTTCTGAGAAGGTGATTGGAGACTATTTATGTAGGCTTGGAGGGTCCAATTACCTTCTGAGAAGGTATGTGGATATTCCAGGTCCCATGGAGCTCGGAGCTGAGATTTGATCGCACCCAGGCAGAGCGCTGTCGAGAGATGTGCAGCGATGATGACAGGCGAGAGAACAGCTGGCGCTGCTCACCGCCGAACTGCTGCTGCGGTGTGGTCACCCTAAGGGTCCGATTGGTTTAAATATAGAGAACAGTTTATTCATTGTTTTTCATTCTTAGTCCATGTGACATTTTAAGATAGACTACTATATACCAGTTACCTTATCTTAGAACAGTTGACCAGTGTTGTGTAGAGACTTTCCCTGACCCCGCTTTATCCAGGGCTGCCCTGATGGCAACACCAAGCTTTGTTGACCACTGTTGTCTATTCACCAACCAGTCTGGTCACCGTCTGGTCACCGTCTGGTCACATCATGATCAGATGGTGTTCTTCTCAGCACCGTGAGATGGGTGACCGGGTCAGAAGCGACCGAACCGGGAGTTCCACCGGTTCCGGTGAACCGGCGTTTGGAACCGGTTCCGGTTCCCGTCGGACGCAGGCTTCGGACGTATGGCTTTTGGTTCGCCGCCATAGATGATCGTAGATGTAGCAGATGTAGCTTCATGCGGATACAACAAATGATGGTGTACCAGAATCTACTGTAGAATCTGAATCACCCCCATTCTGGGGTACTTATATGATGACAAATAGCCTTTTCCATCCTTTTCCTGTCAAAACAGGGTCAAATAGCTCCTAGCTAGTACACATCTAGCAGTGTCTGCCCATGACGCGGACGAATGGTGCCACGCTGTTCGGCCATTTTTTCCCTGCTCGCGCTGTGCGGAAGCGGCTCTGACAGCTTCAGGTGCGTCATGGGTTGGAGCTTGGGAAGCGGCTGATCAGTAGACCAGTTGCCAGTTGGGGCTCCAGTTGCCAGTGAACAATAACCCCAAATTCAGACCTGACAACCTTCAATACCTCTCTTCAGTTTGGTTTGGGATGGTCCAGCTAGTCGGAACCCGCGTTTGGGGGCTGTACCCAAAGCCGAAGCTTCCTGTGGTGCACACATCCCTACACTCAAGCTGGACCCGTAATTCATGAGGCATTTGCCTAGCAGCTCATGGTTGGATTTGGGAATATCCGCTTTTGTGCATGCATTTGTGGCCCAGGTGTGGTAGGTAGGGCTAAGTCGCGCTGGATGAGTCGCGCAGCGCCACGAACGCCAACGTTACAGGTGTGAACTTGTTGAGCTACGTGACCCAGTCCCAAGGGCCAGACTTTATAACTTAAAGGTCTTTGCATGAGCAGATCCACTAGCTGAAAGGTCATTAACCTTGAGTTGTGTCAAGCAAATGGTGTTCTTCATGTTGGTTTGTCTCAATATCAGACGACACCTCCCAGCGTTGGAGGATGGTTCATGCATAGTTCATGTCATGTTTATTGCGTGGGGATTGATTTGCGTATCATTGTGTGTAATTAGCGTTTTATATAGTACTTCAGGCAGACAAAAATTTACGCTTGTTAGCCTTCTTACAAAACACTCTGAGGTCAGCGTCGGATCGAATTAACATGTCTAATTTTCGTGGCAGGTGTGGGACGGTCAATTATCACACCGTTTTAAATTTATAAAAACAAAAGGCTTTCCGGGGTAACAAATGACCGCCCACACCTTCCCTTGTCTCATGGTGTAGGATTGTAGGGGGATAGGATTGTCATGAGTTTCAACATCAACAAGCGCAACTTTCATCTGGCCAGTGCGTTAAAAAAGAGGTGTTGCATTGACAGGTAACTGATTGGTCGTTTTGTAAGTGAAATGTCAATCTATAAAGTACTCTGTCCTCTTT